TCAAGGAACTGGGCCTGAAGCTCCATCTCTGCATCTGCTGGGGCCTCACTGGTTGGAGTCTTCTCTCACTTGCATTGGAGGACGTCATGTCTGTCCAAGCGGCTTTATCTCCCACTACAAGGACTGAGAAGTGGACCTTTGAGGATGGAGCTGCACTCTTCTTATTACTGTTATCCCACTGCATTGAGATCCCACCTTCCTTCTTTTCGCAAGCCCCCAAGGCAGCTTGCCAAGTCCTCCTCCTCTCAGGCTTATCCTCACAACAGCCCTGCAAGGGAGGTGAGGCTGAGAGTTGGTGACTGGTCCAAAGTCATGGCTGAGTGGGGCGGGAGTGGGAATCCGCAGGTCCCCATCCCATCATTCCAGGCCACACTGCCTTTCTGGGTAGAGGAATCAGCAGGTGATCTGGCTAGAAGCATGACCCTTGGTGGAGAAGGGAAGCCTCAGTCTCAGCAGGATGCCGCTCCCTCCACCGGACCCGAGGCTGGGGGACGAGTTGCCCTGAGCATAATCCTGAGCTACGTTTGCCAGTTTGGGGGGATTTTCCCATGAGGTTTTTCTCATCCTGATACCAGCTCCCTTTTGGGAAATTCATCCAGGGAGTGGGGGGACCAATCCAGCTTGTCATAAAATGCAAACCTGGTGGGGGTGGGTGGCTGGGGGAGCGAAGAACACCCCTCCCCCCTACACACACACACGCACCCAACCCTAAAAAAGGACGTGGGTTCTGAGCAGCTTATTCATTACCCCGCAAGCCACCCTTGTCAGGTTGCACATGTTGCAAAGACTCCGCTATGGCTTGAATGTTTCAAATGCAAATCAGCAAGGTTTTGGTAACTTGCTGTTACATGGGGGGGGGGGGGGGACGCAATAAATGGGGGGCATCTCTTTTTTCCCAGCCCTTCTTCTGAGGGATGTTTGGTTTGTCTGTGCACTGCCTTAAAGCAAGACATTAGGTGGATGCTGCTGTCAGATTAGTTGGTATAAATGCATGTGCTTAGTTTGTGGTGCTTCTGCAGGGGTTTTGTTTGTTTACTGCTCTGCTTTGCTTTGCTCTGCTTTGCTTTGCTTCACTTTTCTGCAAGGAGAAAAGCAGAAGAAAGGTTTAAGTCACGGATAAGGAGCTTCAGTAGGATTCCCCAGTTCTCTGCACCCCTTTCTCCGGGCCCCCCCCTCCTTTCCTCCAACAGTCCCTCACCATTTGGTGGTTCCTCCTGCCCCAGTTCTGAAGGATTCGATGCCTCTCTGAAGGCTGATTTCCTGGCAAGATGAGCTTTGCTACCACCTGCTGGGATCTTTCTTATGTTTGGCCTCATCCTTTTCATGCTGAGCCCTTCCCCCCTGCAAGAGATCCTCCTGAGCTGAATGAGGCCCTTGGACTGTTTAAACGGCTAAACATGGAAGGGGTGGGGGAAGCAACACCCATCGCTCCTCTGCTAAATCCAAATCCAGCATCCACCTGGAGACAACCTGCAGTCTGCTTGGGCCTTGACTCTCAGTTAGGCAGGGCATGTTTGAGGACCTGCAGCTGAGCAGCAGTGGATGCTCTTTGCATGGGAAAGTTCCAGCAGCAAGCATTTCCAGGGGAGGCTTGGAAAGCAAGCGACCCATCAAGGTGGCTTCCATAATTCTCCTCCTCCTACTGCTATTGTTTAAACTGCACAGAGAGCTTCAGCTCTGGGGCAACAGAGAAATAAAATAAATCATCGTCGTCAACATTGTATCCCCACAACAACCCTATGAGGTGGGTTGGGCTGAGAGTCTGTGACTGACCCCAATTGCCCAGGTAGCTCGGTGGCTGAGTGGGGACTAGCGGCAGGGCTGGGGGGGGGGGGGGGGGGGAAGGAGGGCCGGAAGCAGCCCTGGTGGAGGTCCCTTAGCTCCAGACCAAGGCGCCACAGCAGAACGCACTGGCAGAAGTGCTTTGATGGCAAAGCGGCTTGCAAGCCGTGAGGTGCTTCAGAAAGAGCAGCGCCATAATTCTGGACTTGCAGGAGTGCCTGAGGCCCGGAGGCATAAATTTTGTGCGCTGCGCTGCAGAGCCAACCGGGCCGATGCACGAAGAAAGAGGAGCAGTAAACAGTGGGGACAAAAGGCGATCCATCTCTAAGTGCCTGCAATCCACCCTCGAATGCAACCAAGGGATGAGGGGCTGCATCCGCCACTGGGAGCTTGGGCAGAGCCGCTGGAAGGGGGGCTTCCCAGGGAGAAGCGCGTGAGAACCTGGAGCAGGGCCTGGGTGGGCCTTTCAGGCTGCTCCAGCAGAGCCTTCTGCATCCTCCTGCGACCCTCTGGGCCGTGGCTCTTGTGGTCCGAACCAGGAGCTCCGTCCAGTGGCCCAAGGGGTCTCCTCTTCTCCACATTGCCTTCACGTGAACTTCACGAGCAACTTCATACGATTCAAAGCCAGCCACCCGAAGCCCTGGTCCCACTCTGCATGCCACACCGCACTGGCTCTTTGCGCAATTTCAGCCCAGGCTCTCTTCAGAAAGGCTTCCCGTGAACCTCAAGGAGAATCCCATTCCCCACCTGCAGCCTTCTTTAGCAGCCACCATCCAGAGGCGGTGGACTAAAACTCTCAGCATCTGCAGCAGGTGCTGCCTGGAGATAAAGCAAGCGGACCTTTTAGCAAGCCATGCTGGGGAAGGCTGCTTGGTCTTGGCAAGGGCTGGGGGTTAACCCTGAAATAGCACCCCAGTCTGGGGTGCCCCTAAGTCTCGTTTTGGGATGAAATACAACTGAGCAGGAGGGTTTTGAAAGCCCCACCCAGGCGCTGGCTGGAGAGAGAGGCCAGGAGTTGTGATCCCAGGCTGAGTTATAGCCCAACGCATCTGGAAGGCACCAGCGGAGGAAGAAGAAACCAACAAGCTCATCCCATCAAGCTGAGCAGTTGGAGATCCCAGAGAGGTCAAGGGAAGGCCTCTTCCCAGTTCATGCTCAAACCCTGGAATGCAGTTCCACCAGAGGAGTCATATGGAACTGACCTCCCACTCCATTTGCAGGGCTTTGGAGGCAGACTGCTCGATTCATGGAGGAAGGGGAACACGGCAGCCTGTTACAGCTGGCATTTTCCCATCCTCTGTACATGCTGGGGTGCGATCGCATGTTTCCCCCACTTCCAAGCCTGAAGTTTGGCAACTAAACTGATTCCAGACCAAAGGCTTCGTGGGCTGGATCAGTACCTCAAGGGGCCTGGGCTAGCCAGGCACTTCACTTTTGATTCCGGGATACTTAAGCAGAACCAAAACCCTTTGTGTCAAAACTGATCTACTGTTGATTGAATCCAGTGATGAAATATGAATGCAGTCTATAAGCAAGCAATATAAACTGTGTGTTTTTCTTGTCTGTGGCTGTACTGAATCCCTGAACCAGCCAGCGGATGCTCAGGGGAGCTCCAAAGTTGTTTGCATGAGTGACATCAATTCTCCTCGCCAAACTGAGGGCAAAAGCCCACAGCTCTTGCCTTGGGTTTCATAAAGTTCCTTTGTCTCACTATTGCACAAACTTTAGTCTAGCCAACCCCTGCCCACCGTTCTGGGAAACGAAACTGCTTCGATAGGGAAAACAGTCTCGTTCCCACAGCAAAAGCAGCTCTTCTCTACAGCATGACTGGGGAAGGCAGCCCCAGGGGGGTTTTCTGGGCTGATCTTCCTAACGAGCCAAAGGAACTCTCCTGGCTTTGGGGCCACGGAAAGCTCCCTACACTTACCTGTTGAACCTTCATAACTTCTTTTCCATTCATCCAACACAGACAGGTTCTGCCCCGTGTTGGTAGCAATGGAGTGGTACCTGGGCAGCTGAAGAAGACGAGACAAGCCCAGAGCGAGCTGCAGCCTGGGAAGATGGCCAGTGCTGCCTGCCTCTCCATCACATCGCCCTTCAGCCGCCCTGTAACTGAATACAGGTGCACTTTTCCCATGCAAAAGGTCCCAAGTTCGATTCCCAATTAAAAAGGGATCGCTGATAAACCAGGGCGGAAAACGTGGCTTTCCCATGCCCTGCAGATTCCCAGCTAGAGCAGAAGGCCCAGACAACTGGGGAGATCTTCCGTTCCGTGTTGTTCTGTCCTGTAATGTAAGCATTTCGTGCCTCCCCCTCCCCGCTGGCATGAAACCCTTCCCTACTTCTGTGCTTCCTGTTTATTTCCTGCGCACCATGGCCTCACCTCCTTCCTGCCAGTCCCATCCTCATTCCCCCGAGAGCCTTCCATTCATTTTGTGGAAGCTTTTACCAGCGCTCGCTCGCTCGCTCGCTCGCTCGCTCGCTCGCTCTCTCTCTCTCTCTCTCTCTCTCTCTCTCTGCGCGCGTGTGTGTGTGTGTGTGCGCGCGCGCACGATTTTTTCTCTTTTTCCCTGGGAGATCCCCCTCCCTGCAAGGGAAGGGCGAGGAGGCAGGCAAGCAGGCGAAGTGCGCGGGGACTCACTTTTGCCAGCCCACCTTAAGAAAACAAATGTGTCGCTGATTCGAGCAGGCAGGGGTGACCTTACCAAAAAGGAGGGAGGGGGGGAAGCAAGCCAAGCCAAGTTGGCTCGAAGCGAGGCGGCGGCAGCGCAGAGCGGCGCGGCGGCACCCCCGCCCGCCCCGGCCCGGCCCCGGCGCCTTGGCTCCGCTCTGCCCGACTTGCGTTTTGCGCAGCTCGCGGGAAAACCCTGGAGCGCCGCATCCAAGAGACCGAGGAAGAGGCGCGGGGGGGGGGGCGCGCTCCGGCCTCTCGCCCCACTTTCTCCCTGCCCCTTCCTTTCCTCCTGCTGAACTGGCGCATTGTTGAAGATGGAGCCCTCCAATGCTAGGCAACGGGGCCGGGGGCGCTGAACCGGCGGCGGGGGCGGCCGCCCCGGCGGGAGCGGCGAGGGGGCCGGCGAGGGCGTGGAAGGGCGCCGGGGCGGGCCCGCCGCCTCCGCGCCCGCGGAGGGAGCAACGCGGCGGCGCGGGGGGGGCGCTGCTTCGCTCCTGCCCGTCCGGGGCATTTCGCGCCGCGCGCGCCCCTCTCCGGCTTGGCGAGCGCCGCGCGGGCGCGAAGGCTCGGAGGAGGGGAGCTGCGAGGAAAAGACCGAAAAGTGGGGTGGGGGCAGCCCTGGCATGTGACTGCCGGAGCCCAGTGGCGATTTTCCGGCGGCGCCCGGGCGCGGGGGAGACGGCTGCTGGTGCGCCGCAGACAGATGCTCCGCCAGGTGAGTCCTGCGTGGCTGGGTTTGTTTGTGTACGTGTCTTGCCAGACGTCCGAAAAGGATGTTGCCTCGTCCGCGACGCACGCGCCCCCCGCCCCTCCCCGCCTCCCCGTCCCCCTTTTTCTTTTCCTCCTTGAATATTTAATTTCCTAGCGATTCTTCGCCGATGTGTCAGGAGCAAAGGAGGGGGCAGCCCCTCTGATTCATCTGTTCTTAAAAATAGGTTGGGGCTGGGTTTGCTGCCGTTTTTTCCGCGCCTTCCGATGTTTAGTTGACTGGGAAGTCAGGCGGCCTTCCTCATTTCGAGGCTGGAGTAATGCGGTGCTGCCGGCTCTCTCCGGCTCCTTCTTTCCGATTCATCTGCCCTTCACGCCGCCGTCTTATTTCCTCCTCATCACACAGTTTTCTCCCCCTTTCTGTCCCCTCCAGTAGCAAACGATCATGGAAGCTCCGGGCGTCGCTTGCGGAAGGCTGCTAGCCTTTCTTCTGCTGCTGCTGCTGCTCCTTGGGAGATGGCCAGGTAGGTCTCCCACTTTCTTTGTTTGTTTGTTTCTTTCAAGAGCATCTTCTCTTGCAAGGGGCCACGCTCGGTTCTGATGCTGACCTTCCCCCTGCCTATTTCTGCTCGTCCTTACCAGACCGGTTCTCTGTCTCGCAGACAAAACCCCCTGTGCATGCTAAACAGACCCGTGTGGGGCTGTACCGTCTCCCAGAATGAGCGCAATGCTGCTGGAACCGACCCCCTTTCTCCCCCTTTCTCCCTCCAAGTGCATGCCTCCCGTTGGCTTTTCCACATATGCACAAGCAAGTTAAGGAGCTGTTCTCCAAGCGCCCGAGGAAAATAAAGAATTCTGTGCCTGCCAGCAAAGGGGGCTGCAGCTGGAGGGCTGTTTTGACATTTGCAAGATGAGGTGCCCTTAATCTGCAAAGGGAACAGAGAGAAACCAAGAGATAAGATGCGTATCCTGTGACTTCTCTGCATGTATTCATCAAGGAAGGAAGCTGTGCTCGCGGTGATTGGGTTTGGCACGTATTTTGCCTGGGAAAGGGCAGAAAGCGTTCCCTGGCCAGCGTGGTGGAAGCCACCCTGAACGCCCGGGCCCATACTCTGCCAATATAATTATCATACATGGAGTGTTTTTAGCCACAGGGAGTGGGGTGGGGGAGATGTGCAAAGACCTTAAGCTTAGGCTCTAACATCTGAGTGACCACCTCCTAAGTTTACTGCACGGCCCTTCCACTGGAGGTTCACCAAAGTCTGAGCCTGAGGGCACCTTTCTTAGAAGCGATGGGCGTCTTTTCTGTTTCAGCTGGTGTGTCATGCTAGGAGCCTGGGTAGGGACAGGGGAGCTCTGTATTTTCAGGCTTGGTTATTCAATTATTGCTGTTACCGGCTTTGACTCGGAGGAGGAGAACTGGCTATAATTAAATCCTGTGACTTCCCAACACAGCCCTTCTCACTTTCATTCTTTCAACCATCCTCTGGGAAATGCCGTTCCCATTTTACAGATGGAGGCTGAAAATTGTGAATCTGCAGAAGATTTTTGGCTGTGCTTGATCTGTAAGCCCTGGAAAATAAATGGATGTCTGTCAAAGGGCCCCTGTTTGGATTTGGGGATACTTCTGAGAGAGGTTTTTCCCCCTTGTGTCTAAGTCTCGAAGAAGATATCCATCCTGCCTTATGTCAGAACGAAAGGAGGAAATTAAGCTGAACAGATGAGCTGAAAGGTAGGGAGGTCTCTTTCTCGAAAGCTCCGTTCCCTGTGCGATGAGAAGCCTTGCATTTTACCGTGTAACACAGCACTCGTAATGACAGGTTAATTACAGAACTGGCGAAGAACCAGTTAGCTGAGCTCTTCCAACAACTGCCCAAGGCAAGAGGGTGCCCTTTGCTTCCCCAGCACCAACCTTTTCCTTGGAAAGTTTTCACAAAGGAGATTCCACTGGTTTCCTGATAGGTACCTGTTCAGCCATGACTAATTGTCATAGTAGATGGTTTGTTTGGTAGCCTAAATTCCTGTTAACTTGTGTTCTGGTTAAAATAGGGAGGGAGGGGTCTCGCTGTCCTCTCTCGCAAGCCCTGAGCAGCCCCATAGGGAATGTCAGTGTTAAATCGGGGCGTCTGTGGCTTGTGTGATGCTTCCTTCTGGGAAACCTTATTGGATCAGAATTCCCAAAGGGTGCCAAGTGGGATTTAAGGCAGAACCGCTGGCATTGGCCTTGGGTCAGCTCCCAAAGGGTTAAATGTGTGCTTGTCGTGACACAGGTTTTCCTGATTTTGGATGTCCTTTTCATGCTTCTGGCCCCAGTTGTGATGCATAAGAGCAGTGGTTGTCATTGGGAAGGCATTATTTGGAGAGGAGCCAGTGCAGCAGAGCAGTTAGAGGGTTTGAGTCCCCGTTTCTCCATGCAGATCCCTGGGTGACTCTGAGCAGGTTCCTGATTCTCAGACTAACCTACCTCACAGGGCTGTTCTGAGGATAAAGTGGAAAATAGGAAGAAGCGTATAGAAGCTGCCTTCAATCCTTGCAAGAGGAATAAAGGCAGGTCTATAAGCAATATAACAACAACAACAAAAATAAATAAAACACTTCCAAATGTTCAAAATGCTTCATTCATGACCTTATTCCTGCTACCTTATGACAACCCTGCAAGGTTGGCTGGTATAGCCCCCTCCATCCCCCCACCCTCAAATTGCTGGTGCAGGGCTGAGTCTGGCAGAAATGGTGGACTTGTCCAGGGCTGCTTGGTGAATTCATGGCAGGAGAGCGATCCCAGGCTCTGGGGTCATGCTCAGCTCTCGTCGCCCAGCCCGACGCTTGCTTTTTGGAGCGGCTGTAAAGCTCTTTGGGCTTGGGTGCCTTTTCTGTTTTTGCATTCCCCACTTACTCTCCCCTTCCTTCCAGCCGCCCCCTCCATAACCACCGAGCTGTCAACATGATTTCCTTAATCGAGTCCTTCTGTGGGCTAAACACATCCACATATGATCTGCTTCATCATCCAATCCTCTGCCATCCTCCTGCGGGGCTGATTCACCGGCACGTGCTTGTCTGTGACTCTCCCAGGCTCTGCTGGAGATCCTTGTGGGTGGATTGAGGTGCTCCGTCCTCCACACGTCCCCGTCACCATCTGATGCTGCGTTGGTTGAGCAACGAGCAAGCAGGAAAATGGGCCTGTGGGCCTTTTTCCCTTTCCATGCCTGCTTCATGCCTCCCGCTAAACCACAGTGCAGTTTATTGACGTTAACGTCGTCCTGTTAGGTCTGGACCCATCCCTGGAAACAAGCCGTGGTTTGCTAGCTAACCAGCTGGAAACCACAAGGAGGGGACACGGCTGGGGGCTGGTTTGCGACCTTCTGCTTGTCGAGGCCATGGCTTTGGGGGCTGTCTGAACTGTGCTTGGTCCCTGGTTTGCCTGTGCTGCTGTCTGTCCGGAAACTGGCTCCCAGGTAGTGCGGGCTCTGGACTCCAAGGGCTCTGCTTAGGAGATGTTCCCCGCTGGCTTGTTGGCCGGGCGAGAGGCAGCAAGGACGTAGGTCATGGCGCTGCGCTTCCTCTGCACCACCTCTGTTGTCTGGGTCCGAATGAGCGGCAGGGGAGCAAGCAGTGAACAGAAGGGGGAGCGACTCCGGGGGGCTTTGCTCAGGGGGTCCTGCAGGCGTGTGCAGTGTCCAAGATGCTCTTCCCCGTCGGCACCCCTGCCCTGATTTTGGCAAAATGGGCAGGAGAGGAAGAAACCAGAAGTACGTAAAACCCACCTCCGGTCCGTTTGCTTGTCTGCAAGACAACTCCTGGCTAAACAACAAACTGTGGTTAACCTACGACACAGTATAGCAGAATATGTGAACGCAGCTTATGGGATGCCTTCGGGATACACAGATGCTGTTAAACTGGGGAGGCGGGACCTGCGTCAGACGCCTGGAGGCTGCCCCCCCCCCCCCCGCATGGGGAAGGGCCTTTTCTAGGGTGGCCAGCCATTCGCCCTCGTGGCCTTGAGGAAACAAGCTTCTCCTGTTTCCAGGTCTGAGTGTGAGGCCGGTTTGCCACTGTTTCATCTGCACTGCAGAACTGCTCTCCTGTGGCTTGTAGGACTCCAAGCTGATTTTCCCACCCGGGCATGTGTTATCATGCTGCTTAAAATATGTCTGGAGCACTTTCAAGGTGAAAGGCAGAGATCTGGAGCAGAAAAAGCAGAGGTGCTGGCTAAATGCCTGGGGCAGGGTCCTGGGCAGAACCTTCTCGGGTGGGCCTCTACGGCTGCCGGTTAAATCTCCCACAATGGCTCAGAGCGATGCCAGGCCAGCAGCGCTGTGGTGGTTGGATTGACTGCCCGATGCTGCTTGTGTTTTCAGCTGGAGGGCGGGGGTTAATGGGGCCAGGGGAGCTATCAGGAATATGTCCTGCCAGGGCAGGGGGGTGGTCTTGGCAGCTTGCAAGGCAGCCCCCACTGGCCCCAGAAAGAGAAGAGCACTACCGAAAACTGTGCCAGTAACCTTCCGCAATAGGGCTTCCCCACTGAGGTATTGCTTCCTCCCAATCTTGCTTTTCCATGCAATAGTTTGTGCTTTTACACACAAAACATGTTTTTTACAAGCAATTAACTGGTTACAAGCTGCTGCCTTGTAAATGGACGTTTCAGCATGTTATTCAGAGAGGATTTCGGTTGCCACACCGGCTACCATTTAGGCTTAGTTTTCAAAGATGCTCATCCTGTGTCGGGGGCATCACACATGTGCCTGCGAGGAGGAGCTTACAGAAATGAATGCTTCTCCCTGTTTGAACCCCCTGCACAGAGAAAGCTAGCATGCCAGGGGGGAAGGCTAGACTAGAATCCATGCCTTTGGCTTCTAGTGACCCTCTAATCACCCACAAATTTCTTTTGCAGTTTGCTTCTATTTTAGCTTGGAAAGTTCCTTGAAAGTCCAGGTGCAGCTCACCCACGATCTCATGGAAACCCGGCTGCCAAGCATGCCACCCGTTGGTCACAAAGCAGGGCAGAAATAAAGCAAATCACTTAAAAATAAGTAAAGGTCAAACTTTACAGTTGCATTTGCAAGTTACCCTGAGTTGGTCACCAGTTGACATAACCCTGGGAGTGTTTTAACATAATAAGCAGCGCATTATTGGCGAGTTTTCTATGGAAAATGGCTATGTAAATTTAGTTTTACTTCCCTTTGGCCACATCCTGCTTCATATGTAGTGATGAAATTCAGACAAAGTAGTTTCCTGGAACCATTGCCCTCAGGCTAAATCATTAGCCCAATCATTCTCTCTTTCTCTTTCTTTTTTCATCCTTTTCATTCATGTTTCATATATTGACAAACATTAAACCATTCTTAAGGTCGCAGAAAGAGGATGAGTAAAAAGCTCTTGGGAATGCACTGAAGAAGGCCCCATGGCAGAAAACAGCGAGGCTGAGGGTACAAAACTGTGTTTGGGTTTGGATGTAAAGAACACAACCCTAAACTCCCTGGCAAATAAGTCCTGTTGGATTTAGAATGAGAGTGTAATTAGTTCTAAC